TATATATATATAAAACAAACCAGTTATACAATGACTTGTCTATTAAGTCTAACTTGCCTAGTTAATCCAATCAGCCAAGTTAAAAGGTAATTACTGGTCTCTTAAAAAATAACTAGTCATCTTTGAATAAATGACAGAAATTAGATATTAGAAATTAATTAAACTATTGTTTAAGAAAACATCTTCATTGAGCAGCACTTTGGAAATATTTGAAGAATAAATACAACTTCAGAGGAGAATTAATAATTTGGTGTTCAACTCTTAAGTGACACGACATGGTTGAAATTCTGTATGTGTTTGGTCACTCAACTGTCAAAGGAAATTGTGGAAAATAAATAAACAAACGGCTTACAGTAATATGTGCTAGTGTGTTTTCGTTTTCATCTGTTTAGCACAGTCACAAGGGAAGAGGCACTCAACACCAAACAAGTGTCATTGTGGTTTGTGTTATAGGTCAGTCCCAAAAATGAAACTTCTTGAGTTGAATAAAAATCTAAAAACTGTGTTTAAAAAAACCTCTCTCTCTTCGTTAACTTAATATGCAAATTTTGTGTCTCCACAGAACTGATCACAGCAATGAATCAGAAAAAACAGCACTTTGTCATGAAGTGTCAGCTTACAATATTTGAAACATGAGTAATTTTAACTTCCTTTTTGTGGCCGTATTACACAAAACTCTACAAATCCCTGCCCGCATTCCCCTCCTCTCCCCGTCCCTGGGGCAACAGCCCAGCACCACAATATTGCATCATGCTCAGCAGATATGATGACTCTGTACTACCAAATGAACACAAATAATAAGGAAAATAAAACAGTTGGGTTGTTTTTAGTGTTTTTTCCAGTCTTATGTTTTTCAGAACTCAGATTTAAAAACAAAGTTTAATTCTGATCTTGACAAAATTTACAATATGCATATATAATAAACAGTTGAAGTCACAATTCTTAGCCTCCTCGTATATTTTTTTCCTCAATTTCTGTTCAAAGGAAAACAGATTTTTCCACATTTCTAAACATAATAGTTTTATTAACTCAATGCCAATAACTGATTTATTTTATCTGTGCCATGATGACAGTACACAATACTTTACTACAAATTTTTCAAGACACTTCTATACAGCTTAAAGTGACATTTAAAGGCTTAACTAGCTTAATTAGGATAACTATTATGATAGTTAGTTCTGTATAGGATCGGAAAAACATTACAGCAAACTGCTTTTATACTAGAAAAAATAAAACATAAGACTTTCTCCAGAAGAAAAAATATTATAGGAAATGCTGTGAAAATTGCCTTGCTCTGTTAAATGTCAGGCGATGCAGTGGTGCAGTAGGTAGTGCTGTCGCATCACAGCACGAAGGTCGCTGGTTCGAGCCTCGGCTGGGTCAGTTGGCGTTTCTATGAGGAGTTTGCATGTTCTCCCTGCGTTTGAGCGGGTTTCCTCCGCGTGCTCTGGTTTCCCCCAAAGTTTAAAGACATGCGGTACAGGTGAATTTCCCAGTGATAGGTTGCGGCTGAAAGGCCATCTGCTGCGTAAAAACGTGCTGGATAAGTTGGCGGTTCATTCCGCTGTGGTGACCCCAGATTAATAAAGGGACTAAGCCGAAAAGAAAATGAATGAATGAATGTTAAATGTAAATTAGGAAATATTTGAAAATTTTTTTATTAAAATCACAGGACAGCTAATAAGTTTGACTTCAGCTGTATACATTTTTTTAAGTGAACTTCAAAAAGTGAGGTAACAGTTAAGGGGTTAATTATTATTGTTATTATTATTATTATTATTATCAATTTTAAAAACATTGATGTAAATTTGGAGATATGACACGAGCCAAATTATTAATATTAAATATTAATAATAATATGAAAACATAAACATAACATTAAAAGATACATTTTATTTCACGTGTAAAACCAAAAAAAAAAAAAAAAAAATTACCCCTTTATGGTGCACTCCTTGAAAACATTGTTTTTGGACCATGCTTGCCTTGAATAATATAGACACAACTCTGATAAAAAGTAATAAGCAATTAAAACAATAATGATAGTCTATGAATAACAAGGTCGAGGTGGTTATGATGCTTGTTAAAAGGTTAAATAAATAAAGAAGCTAGCTCCTCTGTTCTTAATTTGCAACGTTAATATTACTCTATTTTGGAATGCAATTCCTTATTTATTATTATTTGTTTATTTAAAGTAATAAATATTTCAGATCTTCATCCACATTCAACTGTTGGGTTTTTATGGTAAAAGAATTTGTGTTACCCTGAGATACATTTTGAACTTATGATATATGAAGGTTGAAAATATACAGTTGAAGTCAGAATTATTAGCCCCCTTGAATTATTAGCCCCCCCCCCCCCCCCCCCCCATTTCTGTTTAACGGAGAGAAGATTTTTTTCATCAAATTTATCTTTACCATGATGACAGTACATAATATTTGACTAGAATTATTTAAGACACTTCTATACAGCTTAAAGTGACATTTAAAGGCTTAACTAGGTTAATTAGGTTAACTAGGCAGGTTAGGGTAATTGTATGACAATGGTTTGTTCTGTAGACTATCGATAAAATATAGCTTAAAGGGGCTAATAATTTTGACCTTAAAATAGAAAATGTAAAAAAATGTATTATAGCCAAATTAATATATATATATATATATCTGTATTAGTCAATTCTATTGAACCATAAATTTGCAGAACATGTTAGGAATGTTTTTAAAAATATATTTTAGCCAGAAAAATATTTGTGACATTCCTTATTTTAATCAACTCAATTCTAGGCTTTAAAAAATACAGTTGAAGTCAGAATTATTAGCCCCTGAATTATTATTATTATTATTAGAATTATTTCTGTTTAACGGAGAGCAGATTTTTTAAACACATTTCTAAGCATAATATTTTTAATAACTCATTTCTAATAACTGATTTATTTTATCTTTGTTATGATGACAGTAAATAATATTTGACTAGATATTTTTCAAGACACTTATATTCAGCTTAAAGTGACATTTAAATGTTTAACTAGGTTAATTAGGTGAACTAGGCAGGTTAAGGTAATTAGGCAAGTCATTGTATAACAATGTTTTGTTCTGTAGACTTGGAAAAAAATAGAGGGGCTAATAATTCTGACCTTAAATGGTTTTAAAAAAATAATAATACTGCTTTTATTCTAGCAGAAATAAACAAATAAGACTTTCTCCAGAAGAGAATGTTTACAATTATTTTATGTAGGCTAGTTAATGTAATCATTTACACATGAAAGGTTGGCAAGTAATTTTATCACAGTAAACATACACTATCAGTTCTCAACAGCAAATAACAGACAACAGTTACCGCTGGCCTGAAAAGTCAAACTATATTAGGCTGTTTTACAGTCTGAAGGGAAACCCAGTTTTAATGTACGCACTATATTCATGAGTAAATCCCATCGAAGTGTTTAATAAAGAATTTGTGCATTTTGAATTTATGCTAACTTCAGATAGTTCCCATTCACATGTTTTAATAATAATAAATATGAACAAAAAAAAAACATATATTTTATTAATTTATAAAATATGACATATTTAAGCTTCATGTAGGCCTACTACTTTGTATGATTCTGTAAATCGATAGGCTACACTGTAAAATCTATCTGTTAATTAGGTTTCTGTATTTTGTGATTCACAACTGTTTTCTGTTTAGTGAATTGCATTATGGTATGTTGATCTCTGCTCTGTCAGCTTTTGACTCTACAGTTTAACAAAGTGAATTTTATTGATATTTTAATATTGTGAAATTATATTAGATATTGTATATAAAAAATAAGTCTGTAAAAATATATATATAAAAGTACTGGCAGATTATTAGAAGGTTTTTGTAGCGTAATATAACACCAACCAAGACTAAAAAAATGATCTCTGCAAAATTGACACAAACAATTTATATGGATTGAATTTAAACAAACAAATTAAGTTCAGTGATGTTCAAACTAATTTGTTTGTTTAAATTCATCCTAAATAAATTGTTTACCACCACTTAACTTAAAAAGATTTAGTAAACCCAAGGAGTCATCTTTGAATATTTTTTTCCGTGAAAATGGCTATAAAAGTCAGTCGAACTTTTTTAAAGGTTAAAAGTTCTTACAAACAGGGTATGCTACATCTGGACATCTCAGAACATGCTTCTTTAAAATTCTGGATAAAATTGTCACTAACGAAGGGACTTTACTGGATAAAGAAGGTTGAAGATTCTTATCCTGCACACACGCTGTGAGATCTGACGGTGCAAATCGAAACGTGCGTTAATTCCCATGCAAGCAAGCGACTCCAGGACTCAACATCTGTAATACCGCGGAAATTACAAAACCCATGAGCATACATGTTTTGCAAAGGAAACTCCCATACCTTCATAGGATTTATAAAAGGACTGAAGGGATCCTGAACATTAGAAAATACAACATCTAAACGCAACAATGCTGTCCAGGTTCTGTTATTGTAAGTAGATTTTTTTCGTCCATTCCGCCTCCTGTTCAACTGTCACGGATGTGTGAAATGTGGTGTTTTGTTACAGATTTTGCCCTCAGTGGTATTATGTGCTGTTTGCTGTGGCGCTGTGGTATCGCCGGTCCGGTCGGAGGGTTTAAATCTCCAGTTTTGGGTCTCACTGGAAAGGCGTGCAACCCGCTCGCGCGCTCTCTCCTCTGGAACGTGTCGGCTGTACTAGAGATGGTGGGTGTTATTTAATAGGACCAGCACATACTACACTTACGCTGTCTGAAGGGTAATAACACGATCCATAATCCGCATACAGGACCATTTGTTCAGCGGGTTTGACTGCGCGCAGCAAAACGCAGAAGTTTACCTCAAGACGCAAACGGTGTCTGTCTGCACACCACAGGTAGGAGAAAGACTAAACTTCTTCTGGTGACATATTAAATAGTTTAATAATAATAATAATAATAGGCCTAATAATAATAATAATAATAATAATAATAATAATAATAATAATAATAATAATAATTATTATTATTATTATTATTATAACAACAACAACAACAATAATAATAATCAATTATAGTAACAATCGTTTTACAGTCAGTTATTGGCTAGTTATAAATATAAATATTTACACAAAAGATTGGCAAGTAATTTTATCATAGTAAAATCATATTCATTTCACACTATCAGATCTCAACAGTAAATAACAATAACAAATTACATTTAAATGCTCCTCTGGTGGATGTAAGATACTTTAATAATAATAATATTAATAATAATAATAATAATAATATTAACTTGTTAGGTTATTGTTAATATTATTATTATTATCAGTACACTCAAAAATATATATTTGCTGTTTGTTCAAACTCCTTATTTAAAATGAGCTAAAACAATATGATTCTTTATTGAGACAACTTAATTGTTTCATGTTCAATCCACTTAAATTTGTAAAAACTAATAAGTTTACTTAATTCATTCATGGTGTTTCAGCACAAATCGATTATGTGGAGCCTTGCATTTTTTTTTACAGTGTATTACTATTCTTATTCTTATAAGGCTACCATGATGTTTTTTTTTTGTATTTGTGATTGGCATATTTACAAAGTGATTATAAATACTAAGTTGAAATGGTAAATAACCCTGATATATGTTTATTTGTTTGTATACTTTATTGTCCCTCAAGGAGAAATGTTCTGTGGACTCACAAAGCACTTCAGCAAGTTCTGACAGAATAAAAATTCTAAAATAAACAAACCTGCAAAAGAATTTGGTATTTACAGAGTAAAACATAAGTACACTATCGATCAGTGTTCAATAGTCTGAATGACACTGTGATAAATAACAATAAATTTACAAATGCAAATATTTTTCAGTGTTATTTTAGTAAAAATTAAACATTAATGTACACTGTAAAACCCAACAGTCAACTTTTTCAAATAAAATGAGTGTAGTTAAGTCAAAATTGACTGCAAGATAATTCTACTCCTTTGAAAAAAAGTTTTGAACTCAGTGTTGAAGACTGTTAATTAAATACTTCATTATTTCAACTTAAATTGAGTAAGTTCACAGTACTCATATAGATTAGTTTTTTTTTTACTCAAATGTTTTGTTGCAATCGGTTTCCTCAAATTAACTTATTAGGTTAATTAACCTAAAACATGTTGGGTTTTACAGTACACAGTTGGTTTGACTTCCCTTCATTTATTGGCTTTTGTGCTCAAATTGCTTCGTTTACTCAAATGGATTAAGTTCACAGTACTCATTAGAAGAGTAGTTTTTGAATTGAAATGGCTTATTGCAATCAGTTTCCTCAAATAGTTTGAGTTACCTTAACTTTATGGATGAACAATATGTACTTAAATGTATTAATGCAATCGTACAATTTAATATTAGCCATTAAATCAAAAATGATGAATTGTTGGGAGAATTTTTAAATTAGTATTTTTCTGGAGGATAAGGGAGCTCTCAGATTTAATTTAAAATATCTTAATAGGGTATATGCTGAAGTACGCAGATGGACTTTTAATTTTGTAGTAACCCAGGTCAAGCGCTTCCGTTGAACTGTATGTCGTTACAAAATCGGCACATTTAAGGTCTGTTTTCTTTAAAAACCAATGATCTTCACTGCCTGACTGATATACAATACAGAGTTGGTCTCAGATTGTACCAAAAACACTGAATTAAGTCTAATTCAGTCTATTTAGCTGATTATATTTTAAATACATTGCAAAATCAACGCTGTAAAAGGAACTGTATAAAATAAAAAAAGTCACATTAACCGTTCACCACAGTTTATCGGTATGTAATGAAACACTAGCTGTGCATATACCCTATTTGTGTTCTGAAAATAAACAAAAGTCTCAGGGGTTTGGAATGACATAAGGATGATAAATTAATTAACAAAAATGTATTTTTTGGGTGAACTAACCCTTTAAATAAATTAACTATGTGCATCATCATACAAATCAAGTGCATGGGTTTACTTAAAGGGTTTACTCAATTTAAGTAACAAATTGTATTTTACAGTGTGCACTGTAAACCCTAAAGAGTTGAGACTACTCAAGTGATTTGAGGAAAGTGATTCCCTTAGTTCGTTTGAGTAATGGGAAATCGACAATACAATTAATTGAGTTGACCAAATGTGGTCTCTTCATTGAATTAACCTTAATGTTTAATTACAGATAACTTAAACTGGCTAATAGACTAAACTTCCAAATTTTTCACCCTTTATAATCTTTACTTACTCCCAGGGCTGTTTATATCGAAGTTGATATTTAGCCGAATCATGTTGTTGTTTCGTAACACCTCATTTTTTACGAGGTGCGTCATTAGCTCAACACTCAACCCCCAACCTGGAGGACCAGAACATAAACACATACACTGCAAACAATTTTTCATTCATTCATTTTCTTGTCAGCTTAGTCCCTTTATTAATCCGGGGTCGCCACAGCGGAATGAACCGCCAACTTATCCAGCAAGTTTTTACGCAGCGGATGCCCTTCCAGCCGGAACCCATCTCTGGGAAATACGAACAATTTAGCGTACCCAATTCACCTATAGCACATGTCTTTGGACTGTGGGGGAAACCAGAGCACCCGGAGAAAACCCACGCCAACACGGAGAACATGCAAACTCCACACAGAAATGCCAACTGACCCAGGCGGGACTTGAACCAGCGACCTTCTTGCTATGAGGCGACATTGCTACCCATTGCGCCACTGTGTCACCCTGCATGTATATCTATTAAGAAAAATGTATATTTACATATCTACTTAATCATTTAACATTTCTCTTTTGCCAGATGGGTTCAGGTAGTGCCTCTGACAATATTCACAAGCAAAATGACCACCTTGTGACATATAACATAAATCGACCAATCACCGCAGTTGTCAAGGCAGAATTTCAAGCACAACCAATCATTTTAAACAGAGACATGGTGAATCATTTAAAGAAATTAAAATGTTAAGTTCAGAGAACTTAAAATATTAATTAAAGGTTTTTGTTGCCTAATAAGTCATTTAAACACACCCGTTTTGCCAAAACTTGGTATTTTAATTAATGTCAAGTTATATTAACTTAATATCGTTAGTAAAGACAACAGCAGGTTTACAGTGGGTAGATTGTTGACATTCAGCAAAATCCATACCACGATTTAACACATTTTACTTGGTTTTCCCTCAACAGAACTCCAACTGTGCTCAAAGTGCTATCGTAAATATAGATGAGGTAATTTAACCTTTTACCCCCAATTATTCTACTTTTTACCAGTGCATTTTCTCTGATACATTAACAAATTGTGACATGTATTATTGTAGAGCGAATGCCTACAGAGAATTCTGGAAGATCTCCACTACTATCGGGAAACATTTCTAGCCTACTCTAAACCTGAGCTCACCACAACTGTAGTCAGAGGCATTGAGGATGTCATGCAGGTAAAATAAGCCTTTACTTTACTTTACTTTACTTTACTTTACTTTACGTGACTTCATTGATGTTAAGTGGTGAGCTTGTTTTTCACGGTGTATTTCCTTTTTGTATTCATGTTAACAGAACTGTTTCTCTGTCTCTGTAACGGAGAATTCTCCAGCCAAGGTAAAATAAAGTTACACTTCTTGATAATGTAACGTTTTTAATACATTTTTTTTATCCTGCTGTAAGTGTGATTGTTTTTTCCTTCTTCAGGCATCCATGGATCATCAAAAATCTTTTCAAGAACGACTGAAGCTGTGTAAAATCCTAAAGGGGTTCAGCCTTCGAGCAATAACAATCAATCGAGTTTTCAACTACATCTTGACAAAATAGCAAACAAGCTGCTTTTACAGGCCAAACACACTGACCACTTTTGTTTACCCAGACTAATTGGAACGGTTATTTATTAAGTTATTTATTGTATTTGAACATTATTTATTTATGGAATCATTTATTTATAGAATCATGTTTGTGTTTGTGAACTATTGTTTTGGTTTCTTGCTGTTTTATTAAAGGCGGCATGCACTTCAGCAAAGCCTAGTCGTACGAGTCTTGATTTTGAGATATAATTTGTAAATAATACAGTGCAAAAAATTACATTTCAGACAATTGATTTTGTTGGGACAACATTAAGAAATTAAGTTAACTTATTAGTTTTTGCTAATTTAAGTGGATTGAACATAAAACAATTAAGTCACCCCCCCCCCCCCAAAAAAAACAAAGAAAAAAAAAAAACTAAAGAATTGTGTTGTTTAAGAACATTTTAAATAAGTAGCTTGAACAAAATAGCTAAAGGGCACAGTGGGTAGCACAATCAACTTACAGCAAAGAGGTTGCTGGTTCGAGCCCCGGCTAGGCCAGTTGGCATTTCTGTGTAGAGTATGCACGCTCTCTCTATGTTTGAGTGGGTTTCTTCCGGGTGCTCCGGTTTCCCCCACAGTCCAAAGACATGTGGTACAGGTGAATTGGGTATGCTAAAATTCACCGTGGTGTATCAGTGTGTGTGTGAATAAGAGTGTATTGATGTTTCCCAGTGACGGGCTGCGGCTGGAAGGGCATCCGCTGAGTAAAAACATGCTGGATAAATTGTTCCACTTTGGCGACCCCAGATTAATAAAGGGACTAAGCCAACAAGAAAATAAATGAATAAATAAATATTTTTTATAATTAAATAATTTATCTACGGGCACTTTTAGCCTTCTGAAGTTGAGTAAAAAGAACTGGTTCAAAATTAACAGAGCATAGTCACATAAGTTTAAATAATTTGTCTAGTTTTAAGATCTGTAAGAGGACAAGCTTAGATATGAAGATAAATTGTTAATATTTTTTTAAAAATGTCCATCGTGAACTGAACAAATGTCAATTCCACCACATCTCAATATACAGCTTATTTTAAAATGAAATAAATTATGGCAGTCAAACATTGTCTAAGGTCAATTTTGTATCTAGTTTAACCAATCTTTCCACAATATATATATAATAATAATACATTTGTCAATTAAATAAATTAGTCCCTTAGAACCAAATGCTGGATTGTATACCTGTCACACTCTAAAACTTATGAACTTTATAAATATTTTTAAAAATGTCGTGATGGAAATGACAATAAATCAACGTTAATGTGGAAAAACATTAGATATTTATTAGAAAAAAGTGTTAAACTCTTAAAATCACACTTATTAGACTCAATTTACAAAATTACTAAGCATAACCACACATTTTTTGCATGTGTAAAGCTGAAATTTATGTAAAAGAAATCTGATTTGTCTAACAGATGGACAGTATCAGTGCATACTGTGAATAACTGATTATTATTCAAATATTATTTCAATTAATTTTAAAAGAAAACGATTTACACATCTACAGGAGTTAGACAATGAAACTGAAAGGCCTGGTTTTAGAGCACAATTCACAGCAGTTTGCTGAAGTTTGAAGAAGTTTGCTGGTTCAAGCCCCGGCTGGGTTAGTTGGCATTTCTGTGTGGAGTTTGCATGTTCTCCCAGTGTTTGTTAAAAAACTAAATTCTATATATTTTTGGATATATAATCAAAGGACATAAAAGTGCCCGTAGTTAAAGAATTACCTAAAATAGACCATGCAATTTTTTTGTTGCTGGACATCCATGTTCCACTAAACAAAATGGCACTTATTTGTTAAACAAATCTCTATACAATTTACAGCCGTTTTAAGGTCTGAAAAAGGAATATGAAAAACAGTGTTTGATTTTATCCATGCCGTTTTTTGCATACTCTGTGCACACACAAACTGTCTTTTGTGGGAATGGTTGAATTTTAAACAAAATCTGACAGAACTTGAGTACTGCATTAGATATAAAACCAGTTAACCTGTTAAAGCTGTATTCAAAATATCAAAAACACAATCAATCAATACGGGGCATTTGTACTTTATATGAATAAATTTGTGTTTGAAACTAAGGTTAAGGTAAGGTAAGGTAAAACTTTATTGTCCCAGCTAGAGAGATTTGTTTTGGGCTCTTGCCCTCAGCTGCAGTCATCACATAAATAGAAAAACAATGAAACTCTTAACATAACTTTGCTTTTTTAAGTCCTTTAATTCGGGGAAAATCTTCAGTTCAAAGGAGAGCCTCTGAAAGGCATCAAACTTGTTCAGTGCAGAAGTGTGTCCAAGAAAAAAATACATTTTCTAGATCTAAAAAACTAGATTTGATTATTTTTTTAAAAATTAAAATAAACGTTAAAAATATGTTAATGCTGGTCTGCTCCTTCAAACTGTCGTCGGATTACTGCCTATCAGTGAAATCCGCATAATTAAACCATTTCTCTTAAAAATAAAATAAACATGAAGCCTTCTTTTTTCAATATTATTAGCTTAATTGGCCTAACAATTGCAACTGGTTTGCTAAAAAAAGAACTTAAATTTATCTCTTGGTTTTATTACTGAAATGTTTTATGAAACAAAACACAAATAAACACATAATTGTATTTATGACAATCCCGCAGATTAATTTTAACCAACACAGGCTCATCGTGAAAACGTACCACTGTATACATTTCTGGAGAGCTTGAATTATGTAGCCAGAGCTACGTATGGCTGCATTTCATCTTTAAAATGAATGCTACAGGGCGGTATGACGCCGCCAACTACCAGCTAACCCAGGGGTCGGCAACCCGCGGCTCTAGAGCCGCATGCGGCTCTTTAGCGCTGCCCTAGTGGCTCCCTGGAACTTTTTCAAAAAATGTTTGAAAATGGAAAACGATGAGAGAGGAAAATATATTTTTCGTTTTAATATGGTTTCTATAGGAGGACAAACAATCTTAACGTTTTCCAATGCTGTAAAAGTGTGTAGAATATTTAATTTCAACATTTCTGTCAACGAAGATAAGCGTCGTAGCCTGCGACACACGTTTCTATCAGCAGGGCGGGATGCCAGGCAGGTAGCTGTTGTAAACAAACCGGCGGCTGTGTGATGCGCCATGTAGCGCAAGCTGTCTTTGCCAAAGATGTACAGCGGGGCACGCTTTCTCATTTTCCCTCCCTGAGAGAATTCTAAGAAGCCCATCCCGATCACTCACTCAACGGTAATTATTTACAAGGTGCGATCGTTGATATGCAAACCCCTAACCCCAACCGTCATTGGGGGAAAAGCAAATCGTACTAAATTGTACGAATTAGATCGTACGAATTCATACGAATTAGCCACTAAATGAAAAAGTTACGAATTGCCGTGAGATTGTGTTGGTTGAGCACATTCCCAGGAATGACTCGAGCTGATCTTAAGATGGAAATGGCAGACTGCGTTTTATTGCACTGTTTGTTGCCCAGATAAGGGACACGTTGTGCACGTTAATTTTGATGTTGTTTTTTGGAATCCTCAAATTTCTTTATTGCATTTCTTTAATTTCATCAAAGCAAAACATAATGCAATAATATTGTAATGAAGTTAAACTTGATAATAAAACATAATGCATTAATATTGTAATGAAGTTAAACTTGATCATTAAACATAATGCATTAATATTGTAATGAAATTAAACTTGATAATTAATCATAATGCATTAATATTGTAATGAAGTTAAACTTGATAATTAAACATAATGCATTAATATTGTAATGAAGTTAAACTTGATAATTAAACATAATGCATTAATATTGTAATGAAGTTAAACTTGATAATTAAACATAATGCATTAATATTGTAATGAAGTTAAACTTGATAATTAAACATAATGCATTAATATTGTAATGAAGTTAAACTTGATAATTAAACATAATGCATTAATATTGTAAGTGATAATTAATCATAATGCATTAATATTGTAATGAAGTTAAACTTGATCATTAATCAATTCATTAATATTGTAATGAAGTTAAACTTGAACATTAAACATAATTCATTAATATACTGTAATTAAGTTAAACTTGAGACGGCATTGTACAACAGAGTAGTCACGTGGCGCGTCATTCTCTACAGGATGCACTGCAGGGAAATTAACATTTAATCATGAAGGCTCAGTATATATTTGTAGCCAACGAAGTCATTTTTATAGTAGGCTAATATAGCTAATATAAATACATACAGCATGTGTTGCCATCATTATAAGGCTTATATAAGGCTTTTAATTTTTTGCGGCTCCAGACATATTTGTTTTTGTTTTTTTTGGTCCAATATGGCTCTTTCAACATTTTGGGTTGCCGACCCCTGAGCTAACCGATTGGATGCCTTTTCTGTTACCAGTTTGCCCAATAGCTCACCATGTATGTCGGCAGACTTGAGACGCAGAGAAGAGTTGACTGTGATGAAGGGGTTAGAGCAGAGGTGTCCAGTTTTGCAGCGGCCCGCAAGGCTTTTTGTAAATATTAATAGAATCTGGCCCGCTATACAAAAATGAATGTAATTCAATAAATACCACCGGGTGTCACTATCACATGTATTCAATTAAGCAGTAGCTCTTGTTATGATGTAAAACAAACCGACCAAACTGAAGGAAACATAATTGATAACATTTTGATTCACATTTTGGCAAGTCGTGGCACAACCAAGAAAAAGGAAAACCAACAGTGAGTGCAGGAAGTTTCATTAATGTTGGGGCAAAGAACATTTCTTCACTGAGGTCAGCAGGAAATGTATCTGTTTAATTTGCCAGGAATCAGTTGCAGTAATGAAGGAATATAATATTAAAAAACATTATGAAACAAAACATCAGGCCTTCAGCTCTTACATTTGTGCCGAACAAGATCAAAAAGTAAAACAATTAGCAGCTGCCCTATCAGCTCAATTTATAAGGAAATTTATAAAGGACGAGTGTTGTAACTTTAATTTGCCCAGAGAAGATTCAAGATTAAAACATAAGTCTTTCTAGAAACACAGTTGGATGACGAAATAAAATAATTCCATAATAATACACACACACACACACACACACACACACACACACACACACACACACACACATATATATATATATAT